AGACCAGGCTGGCCTCGAACTCACAGAGATCCGCCTGCCTCTGCCTCCCGAGTGCTGGGACTAAAGGCGTGCGCCACCACCGCCCGGCATAATATCTGATTCTTTAAGAGTTTATAAATTCAGCTCAGACTTCAAAATTCATTTCTACATTCTTAACATCAAACACAGTTAATAAATGAATTAATGATTCTATTTTTAGGAGATTTACTAAACAGATTTAAATCCCCTAATTACACAACAAAAGTATTAGTGACCCTGGTCACATGTTTGTTAACAGGATGCATATACTAAAGGTTCATTATTATAAAGAAGAAGGAAAAGTCGGAGGAGAGCCCTTGTTGATAAGCGTATCTAGAGCTCTACCCCATCATTCTCATGTCAGGATCTCCCTCTCCCTGTCGGCTAAAGCCACCATGGTTATTTGTAAAAGCACAACTGCTTCATCTTGTTGGGGCACACAACTTAGGCCACTAACTTTTTTTGCACATTTATTTTTCAAGGTCAGGAGTGGAAGGTATGAGTGTGGTAAAATAAAACTGAGAAACCAATATATGGGTCTAGGAGCTGACTCCGCGTAAAATAATAGAAAAAGTCTGAAACTTCCCTCTTTGGATTGTTAAATTACAGAATTAATAAAGACAGGGTGAAATAAATTACCATGGTAACTAATTCATTTTAAATTATTTAAGTTTATTTCATTCCTACCCCCAAACTTTTCTCTAGAGGAATGCCCCTTGACAACAACAACATTTTGATACCATGCACACTATTGGTAATTCTAAATGTGATGTTTGGAATACAGGCTTCATCCTCAAGACTATGAGCCAAGGAACTATGGAAATTTCTAGTGGACCATCTTTATCAATCACCAAAATGAATATTAAGTGAACCAATACATTTGTTTATAAAGACTACAGGGTACAACCAAGGGTATGGTATCAAAATGTGTAGGGATATGGAAAAAGTTTTGATAATAGTTTCAGATCACTGCTTTATTCATTAATTTTAGACTATTTGGTAAATCAATAAGTTTCAAAAAATTATCAAAAAGAGATTTGTACCTCAGAAAGCATTGTTTACATGCTTTTAGAGGAGTTCTGGAAGCCTTGGGATCCAGGTGTTGGTCTTCTAGAATCAAGGCTACATGTTGGAGAATGAGCTGCCTTTGTAGTCAAGGTGGTTTTCACAATGTACTCCCTGTGCCTCAACTTATTGGTTTTAGAATGAAAGGTTAGACTTCCATTTTTTACATGTCTTGCTGCTGTTATGTTTTATGACAGTCTTTGCCCTGATATCAATTTTATCTCAGTTTTTCAACCTCAAAAATGTGGAATAACTTTATAATGACCATTGATAGTCTTAAATGTTTTTCAATGTGGTAATAGCACAGTTGACTAGGCCTAAATTTTATTAATTCAGTTTTACTCCAGAGTCCGAATTTTATGAGAGCCTTAATCTGAATCACTGGAAGGTGATTTCATAAAAACAGCAACAACAACAACAAAAAAATCCCTTTCAGAAAAAATTCTTAAAGAGTATTAGTGAGAGATGACAAGAAATGTTATGTCAACGGAATCTGAGTTCTAAAGAATATTGTAGTCTTACTGGGGTTGAGATGTGGGTCTGAGGTTTGCTTCAATGAAAATAATTACTCACAGTAACTTTTTTTCTTTTCTTTTCTTTTTTTTTTTTTTTGGTTTTTAGAGACAGGGTTTCTTTGTGTAGTTTTGGTGCCTGTCCTGGATCTCACTCTGGAGACCAGGCTGGCCTCGAACTCACAGAGATC